CCCCCCCTGTCCCGGCGCCCGGCGCCCGGCGCCCGGCGCCCGACGCCATCCCCGCGGCCGGGGGGCACACGGGGAGGAGGCTCGAACGTTTTCCAGCCCGCGCGCCCCCCAGGTGGCCTGGGTGGGAGAGCCCGTGTCTGTCTGTCTGTCAGGAACTCGGGTACATATGGGTCCAGGAGCGGGGAGGGGGGGGGGGGGCCAGCCTGGGTAGCCGCCAGACGCTCTGGGAGGAGGGGGCCGGGCGTGCGCGCGCGATCCGGCGGCGCATCTGGCCAGTTTGTGCCCCCCTTCGCGGGGCGGCAGCAGTGTGGGCCGTCTCTCGCCCGTGCGTTCTGGGGGGGGGGGCGGGGGGGGCGGGAGGGGGGCCTGCGCAGCGTGTGCATTGAGACGTAAAGGGCTTGCCCCGGTCCCAGGTGCGCACTAATAGGGTGTCTGATGGGGCCGGGTTGCCGCCCGCGGCCGGTGAGAATGGCCCTCCCCAGCGCGCGGCGGTCGGGCCCCGGGAGGTGATGGCGAAATGGCGATGGCCCCCCTCCTGGGCGGGGGAACCAACTCCCTCGTGCGTGCGTGCGTGCGTGCGTGTGCGTGCGTGCGTGCGTGTGCGTGTGCGTGCGTGCGTGCGTGCGTGCGTGCGTGTGTAGTATGCGTGCATCGGTGAAAGGGCGGTCAGAGACCCCGGCGCCCTGGGCACGGCCGGAGCGGGGGGGCATCGGGTGCCCCCCGCTGGTTCCCCTGTTGCCGGCGGGCGGGCGAGGCCCGTGCAGCGCGCGCGTCGCTCAGGAGCGTGCTCGCGCCGACCCGCTGCCGTTTGGGAGAGAGTGCGGGGCGGCGCATTCCTCCTGATCGCCTGGAGCGCGGGGTGGGGGGGGGGGGAGGGAATGCCTGGAGCCTCCGCCCCAGATGGATGGGGGTTGCGTGGCCCTGGTGGCCGGGGGGGGGGAATGGGAGCCTGCGGGGCTGGCGCGTTGCTTCGCCCTCTCGGGCTCGGGCGGTGTGTGCGTGTGTTCGTGCGCCAGCGGCAAGCGGTTCGCTTGATGGCCGTCGGGGTGTGTCGCTTGTTTCGGCTGCCGGCCGTCAAACAGCGAGCCGCTGGTATTACATAATCTGCCGGCGGGGCGAGCGCGCGCGCACCGGCCTGCTCAGGTGTGTGTTCTTCTTTGGTCCCACGGGTTGAAAGGGGCGGCGGGGAGAGCGGGCGATCTGGAGCGCCAGGGGGGGGGGGCGGGTCAGTGGGCGGCGAGGACGCATGTTGTGCCGGCCCGCCGCTCCCCGCCCGTCCTCCGGGGGCAGGAGGACGCGAGCGGGTCGGCCCGGGCGCGAACTCTCCTCCGGGAGGGTGTGCGGCTCGGTCCGGTGTGCCCCGCCGCCGCCACCAGCACCCTCAGCGGCGGCGGCGGCGGCGGCGGGGGCGGCGGCGGCGGCGGTGGCCAGGCCAATGAATGGTATTTGGGGACCTGGGGCCCCAGTTTGCCCGCCCGCCCGCCCTTCTGTCCGTGGAGCATGCTCGGCTGCGGTGCGTTCCCTGCTGGCCGGGGAAGGGCGGCCGCCCC